ACCAGCCCAGGGCCCCTGTCTCTCGAAGAGTGGCTGCCTTCCTGGACTCGCTGGGCATGGTGCCCAGAGTAGGGGAAGGGCACTGGGAGCTTTGGTCCTGGGCCATGCTGGTGCACTGCTTCAGGAGAGGGTTGGGAGCAGAGGCAGGTGCGTAGGTGGCCCTGCCCTTCGTGGGGGAGAGGTGTGGGACCTGACAACCCAGGCACCCTTCGGGTTGCCGCAGCCTGCGGGAGGAGGTTTCTATCCCGGTTGAAAAATTCAGAGAAAAGTTGCTGCTGCCCCCCCCCCATCTAAGCCCCTGCCAGGTGGGGAGGGCTGAAGTTAGCCCTTAGCTAAGCAGCTCCTGCCGCTTCCCCTGCCCAGGGCGCGCAGGGCTTCCAGGGCAGTGCAAAGCGCTCTGGGTTACTGGTGGAGGCAGGGCTTTCGCGGCATCTCTGCTCTGTCGGTGACACGTTTCTACTCCGCTTTAGGTTCCCTGAGAAACGAGGCACGGTATGGGGACCTCTGAGGTCCTCGCCTGTGAGACTGCTTATCTGGACACCTACAGCTGTCTAGACCCCTCTAAGCCCCGGCCTCTCAGGCCTTTGGTGGCTTGGCCTTGGTCTGGGGCCCTGTGAGCCCAGGACGCCCAGGACTCTCCACCCTTGCCTTGCAGGTGGCTGACCTCCGGACAGCTCCAGGGCTGTCAGGCTGGCTGGCAAGAAGGGGCATGCTCCAGTGACAGCCCTCTTTCCACCCAGCACGGGGCGGGGGTTGTGGCCACCTGTAGCCCTGTCTCACCTGTCCCCACTCCGTTCCCTACTTCTCAGTCTCCCTCCCAGGAGTGCCCGTTTTCCGCACCAATTCTTTCCCCGGTGTATTTTCTTTCTTTTTAACCTTTATGTTCTGTGTGTCTATTTTTTAAATTTCAGCAATACGGTTTTTACACTTAATTACTGTGCACCTCTACAGCACACAGCATTAGGGTCCCAGCAGGCGTCACTGCATGTTTGTCCAAAGATGTTACCATACACGGCATCACGTTTTTGTGTCTGTTAAACGTTTTGCCCCCATCTACCCCCTTCCCGGTCTCTAAAGCACCCACGGGCAGCCCCTTTTCTCCCCTAGCTAACTCCCCACCTGCCACCAGTGCTCTGCCTTCATCCAGGCTCTCCTCCGAAGCACCCCCACCCAGGACAGCTGCCTCCTTTCTGCACCTCCTTACCTGGATACCCCTCTGGCAGGGTTCAGACTGTGAGCCCCCTGCGACAGGCCCCATGCGCCCTAGCTGGGCTGCCACCTCGGCCCGCTCTCTTCCCTAGCCTTGACCAGGAGGGATGCAGCAGGGCCTCGGGCACTGTCCTGCCTGATCCAGGGCAGGGCTGGGAACAGGCCAGCCCCTCCCCAGCCCAGCATCCCGAGTCCCAGGCTCGCTCACCAAGTGACTTCAAGTAGTCATCGAAATTCTTGCTGTCAACCAGCTTCCAGGTGCCTACGAAGGCGTCCACCATGGTGTGGCTGGATGAGGCTGACCGAGCAGGTGCAAGGACAGGCGTGCACGCCAAAACTGGCGGCTCCTGCCGTCCTGCCGCTTTAAATAGCCCTCACATCACGTGAGGAGGCCGTCCCCGCCCCCGCTCCTGAAATAGGCCCCAGGCTGGCGCTCACCACAGGGGGCTGGCCGCCCATCCCCCAACCCGCCAAGCCGAGGGGACCAGCCGGGGGCTCACCCGCATCAGCGCAGGTGCCTGGTCCGGATCTGCCGGGCCATCAGGGTCTCTTCCCTTCCCTGGCCGTGAAGCCGCTGGGGCGCTGGCGGCGAGCGCGTGTGCACACAGACATCTTCCCGGGCTTGGGTCGGCGCAGAGCGGAGAAAGGGAACTCATCCTTGGGCCGGTGCCCACCAGGAGAGAGTGTTGACCGGGTGGCATGGGCGTAGGTGAGGAGCCTGAGCTCGGCAGGGAGCTGACGCGTTCGCGACAGGAAGGAGAGGCTGTCTCCGAGCCTGGATGCAAGCCTGGTCCAGCTGGCTCCAGAGCCTGCGGGCTCCTGCCACTCCTGCTGCCCAATGAGAGGCGCCAGGGGCGCGGGGCAAAGCCGTGGCCCTCCCCTTCCCTTAGAGGTGCCCTCTACACGCGTGCTGGCCCCTCCCTGTGGAATGTCTCCTGCAGGCCAGCCCTGGCCTGTGGCGCTTTCCTGACCTTTATGCACAGCCCGAGGTTCTGAGCTTTAGCTCAGGCCCTTCCACACCACCCCGCCCCCACCCTCACCCCGGCCTGTCAGGGGCCAGCTCTTTCAGGCCCAAGGCCACTTTCCCACCTCCCATCCCCTCTGACCTGCGCCTCTGCAAGCCAGCCTGCATTTTTTCAGAACTTGCTGCCCCTACCGTGTAGTTGATGTGTGGTCACCTCCAGTTTCTCCACAGGCACATGCTTTCACTGGAGAGAGGGGGAAAGTGAGAGGTCACCGCCCAGGGGAATGGCCACCGCAGTCCTTCCTCCTCCTGGGATTCTGGGCACACACGCACGCGCACACACACCTGCCCGGCATGAGTTCCAGGGACTCGGACTGTGGCCAGCCATGTGGATGTCCAGCACCCTAACCACCACACCACCTGCCGGCCCGGCAAATTCCTCCCAATGAGGTGCGCAAAATACCTCATGGCTCTTCTGATGACCCACACATTGTCTTGTCTACTTTTTAGAACAAAATTCCCTAAGTTGATGTCGGTATCCCTGTTCTACAGATAAACTGAAGTGCAGAGGGGCCCATGGACTGATTCAGCTGTTACATTTATTTATTTATTTATTATTTTTGGGGGAGGTTTTTGCTATAGGGCACTTGTGCTCGCCAGACAGAGACTGAGAGACATAGAGACAGAAAGCGAGAAATCACCCCCCAGGGGGATGGCCACGCTGCAATCCCTTCTCCTCCATTCTCCTCTTGGGATCTTGGGCACGCATGCACACGCGCCCGGCATGAGTTTAAACCACCAGGTCCGGGACTCAAACCGCGGTCTACTACGTGGGAGTCCAGCGACATAGCCATTACACCAGCTGCTGGTCCTGATTCAGCAGTTATTAAAGCACCTGCTTTGTTTTGGAGACAGCGTACACTCATGTGCCCAAATCCGAACAGGCAGACACAAAATTAGTGTGTGGACTCTAAAGGGAGGCCCTCGGCTCGGGAAGTCTTCCCAGAGGAAGTGAGGTGTAAGTGAGTTCTTGGACAGAAGGAGGCCCTGCGCAGGGTTGGGTGGTGCCCGCCAGGGGCAGCCGCAGTGGGCTGCAGGAGCCCTGGGTGGCCACCTCCGCACGTGGCCCGTAGTGCGATACACCCTCCTTGCACCTCTGTCCGCGTGGAGGTTTCTTCCTCCTTCCGCCTCCCTGCCCTGGGAAGGCTGCCAAGGAGGAAGATCTCCCTTCTCCCCTCAAGGTCTTGATTCCTTTGGGCAGTCCAGTTGCCAGAAGACTCAGAGTCCCATTTCCGCCAAAGCTACAGGGACAAGCCTCCGGGCCAGGCACGGAGCCCTGCTGACTTCACTGCCAGAGCAGGTGCCGGGGAGGAGGGGACGGAGGTGGTTTCTGACTCAAGGTCACACGCCTCCTCAAGCGCAGAGTGGCCAGAGACCCCAGGACCACCGGCGTCTCCCTGCACGGTCGTTCAGAGTACAGCGAGGGTGGACATGGCTGCAGCAGGCGGATCTGCTGCCAGCCCTGACCCCTCCAGTTCCAGTTATGTGACCTCAGGCAGCTCACTCCACTGAGTCTTGGTTTCATCTTTTTCTGTGTTTGTTTTCCTTTTTTTACGAAAAGGAATTATTTATTTAATTCCATTGGTTATTATTGTAACTATTTAATTTGACCAGAGACAGAGGAAGAGAGAGAAAGGGAAGGCAAGCTGCCAGGTCCGGGACTCGAACCACGGTCACCATGCGGGGACCTAGCGCCTCTAACCAGCACGCCACCTGCCAGCCCCTGCATGTGTGTTCACCAGAGAGAGCGAGAACCTCCAGTGGGGTACGGTCACACTGCAGCCCTTTCCTCCCACCTGCCCATCCTGTCAGGACTTGGGGTATGCGTGCACGGGTGCTTGGTGTTTTTCAAGCTGCGAGGGCCGGGATTCAAGCTGCGTGGCAGTTGGCCACGTGGAATCCGCCTCCCAGTATACGCTCCACCATTGTTCTCTGGGGCCAACCCTCAGTTTCATGTTTCGATTTTGTTTTTCCTTTAAAAAGATGACATGATGGGGACCAGCAGTTAGTGTAATGGCTATGTCGCTGGACTCCCACGTAGTCGACCGTGGTTTGCGTCCCGGACCCGGTGGCTTAAACTCACTCCAGGCGCGTGTGCGTGCGTGCCCAAGATCCCGAGAGGAGAATGGAGGAGAAGGGATTGCGGCGTGACCATCCCTTCTGGGGGGTTATTTCTCGCTTTCTATCTCTCTGTCTCTCTCTGTCTGTCTGGTGAGCGCACGTGCCCTATAGCGACTCAAAAAAAAAAAAAAAAAAAAAAAAAAAGATGGCATGATGGTCATGTCGCTGGACTCCACATAGTTGACCGCAGTTTGAGTCCCAGACCCGGCAACCTAAAACTCACGTCAGGTGCATGTGTGTGTGTGTGCCCAAAATCCCGAGAGGAGAATGGAGGAGAAGGGATTGTGGCGGGGGCATCCCCCCCCGGGGGGGGTTCTTGCTTCTGTCTTTCTGTCTCTCTGACAAGCACACGTGCCCTATAGCAAAAATCTCTCAAAAGCAAGTCTCCATCTCCAGGATGCGACTGGCCATGTGGGAGTCCAGCACCTTAACCACAGTGCCCCACTCTCATCTGTAAAATGGAGGTATTTAGGGATCAGATGAGGTAATACATTGAAAATGCTGAGCTTGGTTGACTTCATAGACGTTCCCTGCCTCTGCTGCTCCTGCAGTTATCTCCATGGACGGTGCAGGACACCTGGTCTGTCCCTCACCTGCTGGGCCACCCAGGGCAGGCCGCTCTGCTGCTCTCATCCTCAGGTGTCCTCTTTGCTATAGGGCGCGTGCACTCGCCAGAGAGACAGAGAGAGACAGAGAGACAGAAAGCGAGAAATCGCCCCCAGGGGGGATGGCCACGCCACAATCCCTTCTCCTCTCGGGATCTTGGGCACACACGCACACGTGCCTGGAGTGAGTTTAAGCCACCGGGCCCGGGATGCGAACCGCAGTTGGCTACGCAACTGCTGGTCCCGCAGGTGTCCTCTTTTTGAGGAAGGGGCTATAGAGGTCTGCAGGATGAGGAGGGGCATTGGTAAAAAAAGCCTTTTTCTCACACCTGAGCTGAGCAACCCGGGGCTGTGGGGGACTCTGGACACACCCCAGACCGACTGCCCTCACTGCCTGGCCGCCATGCTTTGAGCCAGCCACCTAAGCCACGCCCCATCCTCTTTCCACCTGATTGTCGCCTTCTCCCTCTGAGATACACAGCTTCTCTTCTGTCTGAGCACCCACAACTTCCGGGCCAGTGACGCTCGCCGCTCGCCGTATTCGGGCACAGGGAAGGAGCGTGAGTCCCACCCCTCACCTGCTCCCCATCTCGCCCTTGGCAGGCCCAGATGTGGACGGACCATCTGGCAGGCAGCAGCCTCTCTACAACACTCATCCCCTGATGTCACCATTCTGTTTCCATGGCAACCACAGGCTGGGAAGATGGCGAGGAGGAGAGGAGTAACCAGGAGCGAGCCAATGAGATTGGCCGGCAGCACCGGATGATCCGTGGTGCCATGGGGAGGCCAGCTGGGCTTCTTCAGCTCTTCCCCGACCCTCCCTGCCGTCTGGACGTCCCCAGTAGGGAACGCGCCGCCAGCACAGCAAAGCGGCCTAGAGAGAGCCCAGGGACGCTGAGCTGGAGGCTCCACTGGCCCAGGGACAGGGACACCCTCCTTTGGCTCCTCGGGGCCCCCGGGTGGATGCCCGCACAACCGTCGGAAACCTAGAAGCGGGAGTTTTCTCTTGTGATGACTGGGGAGTGCCCTCCTGTGCCTGCCATGGAGTCTGGTCCTGGCCAGCCCTGCCCCCCCTCCCGTGCCCTCCACACCCCTGCCTGGGGCAGTGCCTTCAGGAGACTCTGGAAAGAGGCCCAGTTGTTTTTGTTTGTTTCTAAAGGGTTTTGCCATAGGGCACGTGCCCTTGCTGGGGAGAAAACAGACAGTGAGAGGGGGTGGCCGCCTTCTCCTCCATCCTCCTGGCATTTGGGGCACACACACCTGGTGTGATTTGCAAGCCGCCGGGTCTGGGACTTGAACTGCAGTCAGCCACGGGGTAGTCCAGTATCATAACCTCTACGCCGCCTGCTGGCCCCAAGAGACCTGGTTTAAATCCCAGGTCTGCCACTTAGCAGCTGGAGAACTGGAGTGAGGCGCGCCCTCGGAGCCTCCTTTCCTCCCACGTGGAGGAAGGCCACGACTGCTCGGGTGGCTGTGCAGTCAGCGGTAGCAAACGGAGAGCACCACGGCCGGTCCGTGCGCAGGGGCTGCCCGGCCTCCCCAGGGCTCCCCGGGCCTGATGACTGAGGCCTTTCAGACGCTGCTCTAGGAAGGGTGCAGCTGCTGCTCGCTG